AATGCTTAGGGCATAATGTTTGAGATATTGGAAACTGACTGTCTAACCAAATTGCAAATTTTTAGAATGGATCAATCCATACTTACCTAACTTTGCCCGCGTAGATAAGTGATTAGAATCCTGATTGATTAATCGGACCTTTTACCTAAGTTTTACACTTTAACATCTCAGAACTGGATGGAGCAAATTAACAGAACTATTGGTCAAGACAGATCTCTGCTTTTTTGTGGATTCAATACAGTATCCACGGTCCCCTTAAGTTTAATTGTAATAATTCACTGTGACGTGTTTCAAAAATGTAATATATTAGGGGTAAATAATACTATGCAATTTTAAACTGTATCTAACTTTCTAAACACAGTAACAGTACATATTTGAACCTGTACACAGCCCAATATTTTTCTGAACATTATATCAGACATTTTTCACAAAATAGCATGCACTTTTCATACAATATTCCATGTTTTAACAAGATAAAAGTTAAATTTCCTGAAAAAATGTGTGTGCATTAAACTAAATTGACTCTTGACTATCAAAGTCAAAGTACCCACAAGCCAATGGCTCACAGGACTGATGCAGTTAAAGCACATCAGTTTCACAGCCAACAGTACACAAGGGAGTGATGAGGCCTGCATCACATCTGACTGCCCTAACCCTTGATTATACCAGTGATAAATCACAGCCAAAGAGATTAATACTCATGTTCCCTTCCAAAGTGAGGGTGTGCAAGTAATTTGTTTTCCCAAAATTTCTGCCCATGATCTTTTCTATAACTGTTTCTTTGCTACAAGACAATGAAAATTGCTAGCATTAACACAGTGTAGCCAGGGAACTGTGCAGCCGGGACATATTCTAGTCAGAAGGGAATGAGATGTGGTCTCCGCCCAAAAAAAGGCAATGGCTGGGGAGCTGGAAGCCTGAAAGTAGGCGCGCTTGCTGGACCACTGAGAGAAAACACAGGTGGAGTTGTCCTCAATGGTGACATACGGTATCAGGGAAAAATTGTTTTACAAGAAATATTTTTATACATATAACCAGGATGCGAGAACTATGTCAAATAATGAACTAACTTCTCCTACTCTTTATATTAAACTGCATCTATTTTAAGGTTAGGAAAGGTTTAATTTTCATTGCATTTGGCAGTTTCATGAGGCTATCTGGAACTCTAGTAATTGCTAGGAAGTACTGGAAACCTTACAAAAACCCAGCCCTGGTCCAAATGAGATTTGTAGTCAAATTCTCTGCTGCTCTGGCCCACAAACCTGTCCCAGTGAGGAAAGAAAGAGAAAGACAAAGAAGTTTTGCAAGACATTACTTAATAACACTTAGCTCTTGTATGTTGCTTTGGATACATTGACCTCAATGCCCCTCACCATGGACAGTGGTCCCAACTTTACAGAAGGACAAATATATCTGAAGAAATAATTAACAAAAATATATTGCAGCTATTCATTCTGTCTTACGTAATCAATATGCATAGCAAACTACAGACTGATAGAAAAGGATATTTATGTTGGGCATTCATTTTTTGTTTTTACTTTCAGCTTTCAAAATTTTGAGGGTACGTCTATACTACATTTCAAAACTTGTGGCAGCAAGTCTCAGAGCCTGGGTCAGGCTACAGTGTTAAGAACAGCTGTGTGGATATTCAGACTCGGGCTCTGAAGCCCTGGGAAAGGGTGGGTTTCAGAGACTGAGCCAGAACATCTACACAGCTGTTATTAGCACCGTAGCGTGGGCCCAAGTCTGTAGACCCAGGCTTTGAGACTTGCTCCTGCGGGTTTTGAGTGTAGACATAACCTCAGAATGTTCACTGGGGAAAACTGTGTCTTTTGGGAACTCAATCACCACCAATGACTCAAGTATAGTATAAATAAAAGACAAACAAACTAGGGTGAAGTCTTTTTATACTGTATGTTTCTAATGTCCACTTTTGATTCTTCCATACTGCACCTCTCATATCACTGAGCACCACCTAAAGTAAAAAAGAACAAAAGTTGCTGCCAAAAGTAGTGGCAACACTCAGAGAATGTCTGCAACCGGAATTGGGCCTGCTACCAGTGGAAGTGCTAGGCTGTAGGCAGTCTTATAATGTGAAATAAAAGCACCAAGCATTCAAATTAAGTGGTTGTCATTAAAATATTTATTACACAGAGGTAACTGACATACTATATTTTTCTTTTTTACTTTGGCTTTGACCCTGGCATCTCAAATAGTACTGTGTGGTAACTGTTGGTAAATAGTAATTTTTGAATAGTGACATTGTATCTGTTTACCTCAAAGAGCTCAAATTAAAATGACATGTGCAATCTCCCCCACTCACCCCGCCCAAAAAAGATATTCAATGCAAAAAGAAACTAAACTGAAGAAAAAGTATTATTTTTCTCTTCGACACTAAGGATAAATGTTAAGAAATGAAAATCAAAGGTAACTTATACATGTGGAATATAAATATTTTTAGAAGTTTCAAAATTTCTATAGGAGAGGCTGGATCTGAACTCACTGAACAGAGATTGCAATTTACTGTTATCATGCAGGAAAGGAGATTTGATTAACTGAGATGGAAATTCTTTCCTATTGATGTGGAAAAAGCAGTCAGTCTCTAATGCTTCATTTAGATAAGGGACAAGAGGTTTTTAAAATCTGAAAGAGGCACTGTATCTAGTGTAGATATTCAATTAAATTGGTTCTGGTTCTTTATAAGCAGATGTAGCCCAGGATTTGCATATGAAGATAGATAATCCCTAAGAATATGTGCTGCTCTGGACTGGTATCAGAATAGGATATTTTTATTTAAACATAACATGCTAATCATAAGATTTATTATCTGTATTACTGTAATGCCTCATAGCCTTAATCATTCACCAAGACCCCACTGTGTTAGGCGCTGTACAGACACAAAATAAAAAGGCAGTCCCTACCCCAAATTTACAGTACACCTCTACCCTGATATAATGCGACCCAATATAACACAAATTTGGATATAAAGCGGTAAAGCAGCACTCCGGGGGGGGGGGAGGGCTGCGCACTCTGGCGGATCAAACCAAGTTGGATATAACGTGGTTTCACCTATAACGCTGTAAGATTTTTTGGCTCTCGAGGACAGTGTTATATCGAGGTAGAGGTGTATAAGTCAAGAGACCACCAGATGGATACAGACAGATGGGGAGTACAAGAAAACAATACTAGTCAGCATGACAGGCAGTGGTCTCTAACCACTGTCAAGTTTTTTGTAGGCATCACGGAAAAGGAGAACGTTTTAAGGAGGATAATTAAGTAGTTTCGTGGATGTTTACAGGGAGTTCCTCCCAAAACTGAGAGGCAGAACGGGAGAAATAGATAGGTGATTGTTTGAAAATTTAAGCAGTGCATGATGGAGGCTGGCATAGTGGGCCGACTGGAGGTGGGCAGTGACATCTCAACTGTGAATGGTAGATGAGAAGTAGGATGGAGGTAAATTGTAAAGGGCCTTGAAAGTGAAGACAAGTAGCTTTTGTATGATGTGACTGAAGGGGGAGCCAGCAGAGGGATGCAAAGCGGTAACATGGTCAAAGTGAAAGGCTAGGAAAATTATCTTTGCTTAAACCAAGCTACCAGAGTGAGGAAGTGGCAAGGAAACGGTGCTCTGGAGTTTGCTGGGGTAATGGTTACCTCAAAAAAGAAGCAGGACAGCACACAAGGCTTTGAGGCTGCTGTAAGCTAAGAAGAGGGATAGTGATGAAAGGGACCTAATGGGAGTTCACAGCAGTCAGACTTGCTCCCAGTAGAGAGAGGAGCCAGCTTGTAGGAAAATCCTGGAAAATCCTAGTTGACTTAGGAGGAGGAGAGAACATGTGAAAATGCTTTGTGTGAGGCCACTCAGAGAAGACAGTCAGGGAGCTGGGTCACAAACAAGATGTTTACAATGAGATATATCAATCAGACTAAAGGTCTAGAGACTTACCAGCAATTGGGTCTAAGTTCAGTCTGAGACAGTAGGTACCAGCACTAAGTGGGCAGCTGTTTGACTCCAGATGGGTCACAAATGGCCATCCCCATGCCATCCTCAACCATGCTGAATTCTGTTCAAATACTTATGTGAATGGGGGCAAAACATATTCAACGCTCACAGACGAAAGTATGCTGAGCACTGCAAACCAGCAGAACTTTATTTATTCCAGCAATAAAACTAACCAAGGAAGCTTCTCTACCAAGAAGTACAATGAACAAAGTAAAATTACTGCAGAATAGGAATGACACATTCAGTTTACATACCAACAGCACTTTCAACTACCAATTCAACCTGTAGTTGTGAACGAGGACATTATCACTGCCCTAGTACTCAGGGGTAGTATCTCTCCTCAAGTGCTAATCACATCTGCCTACAAGTACCCAAGATAATGTAAAACTAAGCTTCATTTATCCACCCCCTTCAAGAATGATTAAATACATGTTGAACCTTACCTACAAACAGCAGCCAAAGTCAATTGTTTTACCAATTAAATCAATTGAAGAGTTACCACCATCTTCAGTTCAATTTCCCATCTGGACCCAGGAAATGGCCTCCTTAATGAAATCTTATTACATTTTATTACTTTTGCTAAATAGCTTAATTTTTAAAGTAGATTTTTTTTTAAAGAAGTCTATGATTCTGTCACTTTGAAAAATCATCTGAATTGTCTTTTAATATATTAGGGTTAAAATTTAAAATTGCTCCAAATTCAAGAAATTGAAACTGAATCTCACACAAAATGACAACAAATTGGCCATTAAAACTAAGGCATTTATCTTAATATTAATATATGTTAATACAAAACCTATACATGGATGAGTGAGCTGGATTACAGTTGTAAGAACCATAACTTGGAATTTCTACAATTTTGTCCAATTAATCCCAACCAAAATGCTTCATTAATATAATCTGTGTGAAAAATATTCACATGCATCTGTGCACTATTACATCATTTGATTTTTACATTTTTAAGGACCAAATGAAGAGATTAAATAGCATCTTAATGCACAGGGCCTGCTATGATAGAAGCCATCTTTTCAATGACAAACAAACTATTTTGAGTGTAGCTAACACAGTGGATTTTTTGATAATTCAATGACCCTCTAACTTTATCCAAGCAGTAGACATGCAAAAGAGACTGCAAAACAACAGACTGCTACATGACTAATAATAAAACTTGGACAACCGTTCACGGCTGAGTGAAGAGACAATCAACCATTCCCAGATAGTTGTTTTACACACTGGATGCATAACAACAACAAAAGTAATTTCTCTCTCTCTAATTTTGTTCATGCACCATGCCTCAGCTCTCACACATTTGGAAATGTTACAGTAAATGTCAACATGGAGAGAGAAATGGTAAAATCCAGGATGTTTACCTTCTAGACACCAATGTACAGTCGATCTCTGGTCTTTTTGTTTTGGGAATGGCATAAAGTGGATATCTATCCCCATGGCGAATCAACACGTGGACAGACACAAGCTTAAAATAATGTGGTGCATGACCTATGTGGAAGGAAGAAGTAAAATTAAACAGCAATCTTAATCCTCTCCATATGTTTTCCAATTCTACTATTCCAAGTAAAAAAGCATGCATTATTGTTAATTATCTGTTGTTTTCAACATTGTATTCAGTGCTTAGAGAATATGGAGGAGAGACAGTCCTTTGTCCTGAAGTATTTATTTCAATTTAAATAATAAAAAGACATCTATAAAGGCTCTAGGCGCCCAACACATAATACTACAATAGAACCCCAGAAATGTTAGAATAATTATTCAAAAAGAAACTCTGCTACCATAAAGCTCCTTTCCTTCCCTTCTTTAATCATTCTGGGAAGCATACCCACAGCCCTCTCCAAAAACCCAGTTCAGCAGATGACTTTTCCAGCATGCCTAGAAAATCACCAAAATGTGGACTACTTTGGATCAAAGTATTGGTTTTTTATCTTTACCTTAGGTTTACTTTCTAAGGGGACTGACTGATATAAGCACTTAACTGACATTAGTGGACGATACAAAGGTATAGTGATTTAAGATGCTTTGTGCCATACTACGGGGTGAGCAGTCCAAAAAGTGTCTTCCTCAACTAAAGATAGAGGCTGCTTTCCCCTCCCATCATTATCTCTTTCCATGGTTCTCACCAACCTAACCTGTCATTTCTGGGGAAGCACTCCAATTGCTTATGTCCCACTTTGAGACTTCAGCATTAACATATTCAAATTTCACACCACTAGGACGTGATTACACGGTTTCCAACAAAATGCTAAATATTTTTAAACAACAGCTACAATCTATATTTTCTTTCCCTGTCCCCCCGTCTCTTTGTGGATCTTACATACAATTTAACTGTCAGAAGAACCTTTGTAGATCTCCTTTAACAACCAACTCCAAAATCAAAATACACAATGAGGGGAAGAAGGAACTGAGCATTTTTGGCAACTGAATATATTTCAGCAGCCAGTCAAGATGTTTGTGGCTAGCTCCAAGTTCTAAAGCATTTACAATGCACACTTAAAATCACCATTTCCAGTGCCAACATGTAGGACCTAATAATGAAATAAACCCTGTCAATTGCCTACACCATGTCTGACAGCCTACCTTCCATGCTGCGTTCAGTTATGCTAGGAACATTACAGTAAACACGAGCTTCATAAATTGGATCAATTGCAGGGGGTTCAGTCAGAGGATCAGGCATTATTCTCTTTCGGCTCTTAGGGTTCAGCCCATCTTCCTTGACTGGGTTGACTGGGATTAAGTGCACTAAAAGACATAAAATTAGCAACATTTGTAGTAAATTAAAACTGGTCATTACATCCATATTATTATTTTAATAATGTGCAAAATACTCAGTTGTAAAAATTGGTTATTTTACCAGGAAATGGACTTCCATGAAAATCAGTCACACTAGACCACTGGGTTGTGTTCATTCTGTCAATTTTTGATGCCGTTACATAATGAAATCAGGAAGACCCTAAAGAGCTCTCTTGCATAGGCAGTCCTTAGAGTAAGACACTGAAATCTATCTGGACATAAGAGTCACTGTGTTTTGTCATTTGCACTCTTTTCCTTGGAACTGCTTCTTGTGTTGGATTTTTCCATGGGGTGATAAGAGCAGCAGCAGGACTAGGAATTTAAAAACCTATATCAACAGTCAGTGGATAAGACATGAGTCATTATCTCCCATGACTGCTGATATCCTGACTCTTCAGCATAGACCCTGAGAGGTCGGGCAGGAGTTGCTAAAGAAAAGAGACACACATCTTGGTAAAGGAACTTGTAGCCATGGGACTATTGGGACTTTCCTTGGTAAAAAGCACCAGAGCAAACAGTTTAGGAAATCTAATATTTAGAAAAGGAAATTCACCATATAAAGGGGAAAAACAGATTTTGGTCTGTTCTTTATGGGGATGGGAATGACTGAATTTCCCCAACTCTTTTTATTCTGAAGTCAGGTTTAATAGCTCAGGATAGTTTTAACTCTGTTAGGCCCTTTTGACAGTAAATATCACAAGCATTTACTTCAGAAACTTCCTCGGTTGCTTTTCACTCTACACAGTATCTTAGTTAGAAATGTTGCTTTGGTTGCCTGCCTGGAGACTACTTCAGACAGGGAAACGACAACAGATTGTTGGCTTTATATTTCATCATCTCCTTGGAAACATCAGAAGTCTTGACTGCCAGTAGTACAGAAAGAACACCCAGTGAACAGGTCTAAAGTACCCTTATTACACTTCCAACAGGTCATCTTTTTGTGAGTGGCAGCCAATCTTGTTTTACACATAGGACAATTTAACCCACTGAAAATTTTCAGTACAAATGGTCATCAATTTAAGGTATGTTGTAATGACTGGGGCCTTGGGAAGTGCAATGTATGGAGAAAGTAGTACATTTTAGTTTTGATTGTTTTATCTACCTAATTTATGATCTAGTAAATAGTGAGAATGGCAAAAACAACACAGGAAAATCACATTAGTCCAGAATGGTTAGGTGATAAGAAAAATTTAGCTGAAGTAATTTTTTATATCACAGAGTATTTCTCAGCCCAGGGATCGAGCATGGCCTAACTACTACTTGTCATGCAGGATCACTTCTTGCCAATCAGCTATCTGCATGGACGCACTTTCGCCGGAGGATCAGTGACTGCTGTCCAACTGGCAGTCTAAAGCTGCAGTGTTTTACATGTGAAGCTAGCTGCAGTGGGCTCACATATTCCTAGACATTTCCCTTTGAAAGCTGTCTCCGCAGCTAGTCTCATGCTAATCAGTGTCCCTCTGCAGCCCTGGGAGGGCTCCTATCGAAAATTCATAGATAAACTCAAGTAACATGTTTTTAGTAAACTTTGATTTTACAATTTTCAGATATCACCCCCTTCCCCCATCCAGACTTTTTGTTTACTTGTGCAATAAAATATTCATAAGGATGTCAAAATATATCTAATAATTTTTATTCACTTTATAATCATTGAACTTGAAACTGAAATGCTGTACACAAATGAAGTCTAAAAATAGAATTCACTCATGTTGGATGATAGCACAGACTTTTTAAATTGGAAAAAGTCATTAAAATATATGAGAAAAAGCTAAATTACATTAAATCATGCATGGTGCCCACAACATCTCAGTGTCCCTTTCACAAGAATGTAAGAGATATGGATTTTAGAAATATACAGAAAAATTACTTAGTTTAACTATTATGGATTTACCCAACTAAAACAAAAACAAAAAGTCAACAAAAGTGAATATTAATGTCGTTGTAAAATGCCCTTGGCAGTATCACACTAAACTGAAAGAGACACAAGTCAACTCAAACTTGTATTGTGAAACAAAAAATAAATGGAAATATTTCTCATAGGTCTTTGGATCTGCAAAAGCTTGTTTCTACAAAATCCAAATTTTGGACAAGGTTGAGTTGACAAAGTCTCTTCAGGTTTGAAGACTATTTTATGTAGTAAGCCCTCAAAGACTGCAGCCATAATAATGAACTCTCAAGGCTTTGCCCCTGCCAACATATTCTTTTCAAAGAGGGAAAGATTTTTCTGATTGAAAATGATGGGAAAAGTAGTTCATATTGTTCCCATTAGTCTTCAACTGCAAAGAGGGGAGACTAATTTCAAAACTGAAGGTTTATTGATTTTCTGTCCGTGGTAATTCCTCAAATCACATCATGACTGTGAAGGGCACTGATTTTAGAGGCACATTTGTTCTGTGGGTTGGCTGGTGTGTTGGGTGCAGAAGTGGGGAGAAACAATACCAAGTATTTAAAAGGTGTACTAAAATGCAACCAATACAGAAAACGTTTAAGAGTCCAAGTCAAAATAATTAACAGAAGATGCACATAGATTTAAATAATTAAGGTACTATAGTCTACACACATTAAGAAGGTTTAAAATTGGTTTCTCTTCATCCACCAAAGCCAAAGTTCAAGTCTTTCAGATTCTGTACTCCTCCTGCTCCAGCTACTGACATGGCAACATCTATGGTGACTGGCCCTGAATTTCACCTACTTGTGTTTTTAAACTTATTTATAAGGAAGAAAACCCACAGAATTAGGGTTGGTGCAATCTACGAATATGTAACCTTTGGACTTTGTGGGGTAGGAAGGGGGAACTGTTGGTATTCTACTCTCAAGGCTCAATTGCCACCTCCAGAATTTCCCTACTCACTGCGTCCATTTTTTCAGGTCCTCCCATATTAAGATTATTGCACACTGAGACTTTTAAAATATTGCATTAAAATATTTTTAAAGATATTAATAAGTTATCATTAGTCTAGTCAACATCTCTTGGACTGCTGACTGAGTGGAAAGGAACTTACAGTAGGATTTGTATGGCTATAAATCTCAAATCAGAAGAATACACTTAATTATACTAGTAAGATTATACTACCAGCCTCTGTAAATGCACATTGTTGAAGGAGATCAAAGTAGTTCCTATGCCTAATAAAACGGTTAATGGAGGACTTCAATTACCCCCATATAAATTGACCCCATGTCCCAAGGAGACAAGGTTTAGACAGACAACTTTCAAATGCTATAAGAAGTTAGTTGTTTTTTGGAACAGCTAGTTCCAGAGCACACAACAGGAGACACTTTTATCAGTTTAGCCCTAAGTAACGTACAGGGTTGGTGTAACTAATAGGGAACACAATATAATTAAGTTCAACATCCATTGGTGGGTAGTTGGGGGGAAATCATACCAACAACTAACACAGTGACACTATAGCTAAAGTAAAAAAAAAAGTCAAAATCATTAGACTTAGCTTTGAAACTATTAAGTATAAGATAAAAAAGATGATGTGTAACCCCTTAAAGCAGAAAAAAAATATTTAAGTATACTAGAAACAGGAAGCCAGAATCAGGGAGAAAAGAGAGCAATAAAGAGGAGAATAAAGTCATTGCAGAGAAACAAAATTATTTCTTTACATCAGTCCTTACCACAGAGGATATGGGGGAATTACCTGCCACAGGCGTACGCTATCCAGTTAACAAAGATGAGGTACTACCAAAGACTGAAGTATCAAAAGAATTAGTACTGGAACAACTGATAAATTAAAGAGCAACAAGTCACCAGGATCACATGGAATACACCCAAGAGTTCTGAGGGAATTTAAAAATCAAGTGGCTAAACTGCAAAAACGAATATGCATTCTCTGAAAACCAGCTGCAACTCTGCATGATTGGATGGTAGCAAATGTTTTACTTACAGACCAGTTGACAATGGGCTGTCCAAAGTTTCTGTACAAGGACTAGTATTGCTTAATACATTTATCAATTATATGGAAATGGGTGAACAGCTGAGTGGCAAAATTTCCAGATGACACAGAATTATTTAGATTAGTCAAGATAGAAAAAACTTAAGAACTTTGGAGGGACCCAGCAAAATCAGCCAAATGAGCAGCCCGACCACAAATGGAATTCAATTTTGACAAATACAAGATAATAATGCACATTGGAAGGAATGATCTGAATGACTCATACAAATCGAGGTGTCTAAATTAACTGTAAGCACTCAGGTTAAAAAGACCCAGGCATTGCCCCTGGACACTAATGTGGACACACTTTAATTTAAATTTCTGTTCAATGTGTAGCAGTGATAAAAAAATCAGATTTTTTTCCTGAACATGTAAGGAATGGGATAGGAAAACAACACTGAAAATATTATAGTTCCATTATATTAGTCTATTATATAAGCCCTCAGTTGGGATATTATGTTCTGTTCTATTCATATATGGGTTTGATCTGGTATAGCAATTTCTATACTCCTAGTGGCTGTATACAATAAGGTTATTTCTACTTACCCAATGTCAGAAGTGAACAATAAAAAAATACTGTAATTTAAATACCTGTTTGTGGCTTTTTTTAAAGTTTCAATTCTTCCCCTCCCTCTCTAAATGATTAATATCCACTCCCACTTTGCCCTGTGCAATCTCAGAATTTCTCTCAATTGTTTTCAACTTCTCTTTTTTCCCTCCCCTTCTGCCTTTTCTCTGTCATCCTTTCAGTCTGATGTCTTTAATATTGTGCCTTTTTTCCTTTTGATTTCATAGCTTGTACTCGTCTATTCCCTAGCTGTCTAATCCTTCTTTGCATGCATCCCCCTCCTCCTCCCACTGCCTTGCTCCTCCCCCACTCCCCAATACTTGGCACACAAATTTTATTTGTCCAACTGTGCCACCTCATCTCTGCTCCACAAGCAGCAGCTATTAAAAGCTCTTAGAAGAGCAGCAGTTTTCACTGTCAGTACTCCTTACTGAAACTCCTAC